TTAGGGGGTTCAGCCACCACTACCCCAGCCGTGTTGTTTGACTCCTTCAATGGAGATGGAGGCAATACGGAAGTAGGTTTTGGGGACGAAGAAGATGATGAGGAGGAGGTTGTAGATAGCTCACAGCAAGCAAGCGGAGAAACCGGTTTTCCCGACAGCCAGGAACTGTTTCTCACCCTAGACCTGGAGCCAGTACCCCCCGAACCCACCCAAGGCTGCCTCCTGGACTCAGCAGGCGGAGAAGGGACCTCTGGTGAGTGTACCTTTTAAAATGCTATACATGGTTTAAAAGCAAGCATGTGAAAGGATTACTTTGCCCTGGCATTTGCGGTTCTGCCTTTGCAAAAGGTTTCTGGGGAGGGCAGCCTTATTTTGTCCTTCATGGTAGGACACTTTACCACTCCAGGCCAGTAACACGTACTCGGGAATCACTGTAGAACAAAGCATTGCAGTGTATGTTTGCTGGCATTCAACCAAAATCCGTTCACGCGGTGGGAGGAGGCAAAATGCGACCTTGTAACGAAAGCACATGTGCTATGTATGTAATGTTAACAGCAAGGTTTACCCTGAAAGAGTGTAGCGACTGTTTTATAAAATGTGTCTTTTTAAATACCGCTGTCCCTTTTTTTTTCTCCACCAGCTGCATGTGTTTCAATGATCACAGGATCTTCTCCTTCCCAGAGGCTAGTGAAGCTTAGAAAGAAAAAAAAACGCACTCGCGATGAAATGTTCTCCGAGCTCATGCTGTCCTCCCACACTGACAGAGCACAGACGAATGCGTGGAGGCAAATAATGTCAGAGTGCAGGAAAGCACAAAATGACCGGGAGGAGAGGTGGCGGGCTGAAGAGAGTAAGTGGCGGGCTGAAGAGAGTAAGTGGCGGGCTGAAGACAGGGCTGAAGCTCAAAGGTGGCGGCAGCGTGATGAGAGGAGGCAGGATTCAATGCTGAGGCTGCTGCAGGACCAAACCAGTATGCTCCAGTGTATGGTTGAGCTGCAGCAAAGGCAGCTGGAGCACAGACTGCCACTGCAGCCCCTCTGTAACCAACCGCCCTCCTCCCCAAGTTCCATAGCCTCCACACCCAGACGCCCAAGAACGCGGTGGGGGGGCCTCCGGCCAACCAGCCACTCCACCACAGAGGATTGCCCAAAAAAAAGAAGGCTGTCATTCAATAAATTTTAAAGTTGTAAACTTTTAAAGTGCTGTGCTTAAAGTGCTGTGTGGCATTTTCCTTCCCTCCTCCACCACCCCTCCTGGGATACCGTGGTAGTCATCCCCCTATTTGTGTGATGAATGAATAACGAATGCATGACTGTGAAGCAGCAATGACTTTATTGGCTCTGCAAGCAATGATTAAAGGGAGGAGGGGAGGGTGGTTAGCTTACAGGGAAGTAGAGTGAACCAAGGGGCGGGGGGGTTCATCAAGGAGAAACAAACAGAACTTTCACACCGTAGCCTGGCCAGTCATGAGACTGGTTTTCAAAGCTTCTCTGATGCGTACCGCGCCCTCCTGTGCTCTTCTAACCGCCCTGGTGTCTGGCTGCGCGTAACCAGCAGCTAGGCAATTTGCCTCAACCTCCCACCCCGCCATAAACGTCTCCCCCTTACTCTCACAGATATTGTGGAGCACACAGCAAGCAGTAATAACAGTGGGAATATTGGTTTCGCTGAGGTCTAAGCAAGTCAGTAAACTGCGCCAGCGCGCCTTTAAACGTCCAAATGCACATTCTACCACCATTCTGCACTTGCTCAGCCTGTAGTTGAACAGCTCCTGACCACTGTCCAGGCTGCCTGTGTACGGCTTCATGAGCCATGGCATTAAGGGGTAGGCTGGGTCCCCAAGGATACATATAGGCATTTCAACATCCCCAACAGTTATTTTCTGGTCTGGGAATAAAGTCCCTTCTTGCAGCTTTTGAAACAGACCAGAGTTCCTGAAGATGCGAGCATCATGCACCTTTCCCGGCCATCCCACGTTGATGTTGGTGAAACGTCCCTTGTGATCCACCAGAGCTTGCAGCACTATCGAAAAGTACCCCTTGCGGTTTATGTACTCGGCGGCTTGGTGCTCCGGTGCCAATATAGGGATATGGGTTCCGTCTATAGCCCCACCACAGTTAGGGAATCCCATTGCAGCAAAGCCATCCACTATGACCTGCACATTTCCCAGGGTCACTACCCTTGATATCAGCAGATCTTTGATTGCATGGGCTACTTGCATCACAGCAGCCCCCACAGTAGATTTGCCCACTCCAAATTGATTCCCAACTGACCGGTAGCTGTCTGGCGTTGCAAGCTTCCACAGGGCTATCGCCACTCGCTTCTCAACTGTGAGGGCTGCTCTCATCTTGGTATTCATGCGCTTCAGGGCAGGGGAAAGCAAGTCACAAAGTTCCATGAAAGTGCCCCTACGCATGCGAAAGTTTCGCAGCCACTGGGAATCGTCCCAGACCTGCAACACTATGCGGTCCCACCAGTCTGTGCTTGTTTCCCGAGCCCAGAATCGGCGTTCCACAGCATGAACCTGCCCTATTAGCACCATGATGCATGCATTGGTAGGGCCCATGCTTTCAGAGAAATCTGTGTCCATGTCCTGATCACTCACGGGACCGCGCTGACGTCGCCTCCTCGCCCGGTATCGCGTTGTCATGTTCTGGTGCTGCATATACTGCTGAATAATGCGTGTGGTGGTTAATGTGCTCCTAATTGCCAAAGTGAGCTGAGCGGGCTCCATGCTTGCCGTGGTATGGCGTCTGCACAGGTAACTCAGGAAAAAGACGCGAAATGATTGTCTGCCCTTGCTTTCACGGGGGGGGGAGGGAGGGAACGGGGGGCTGACAATATGTACCCAGAACCACCCGCGACAATGTTTTAGCCCCATCAGGCATTGGGATCTCAACCCAGAATTCCAATGGGCAGCGGAGACTGCGGGAACTGTGGGATAGCTACCCACAGTGCAACGCTCCGGAAGTCGACGCTTGCCTCGGTACTGTGGAAGCGCTCCGCCGAGTTAATGCACTTAATGCACTTAGAGCATTTTCTGTGGGGACACACACACTCGAATATATAAAACCGATTTCTAAAAAACCGACTTCTATAAATTCGACTTAATTTCGTAGTGTAGACATACCCTTAGTTTTAAGGTGTCACTGGACTCCTTGTTGTTTTTGCGGATACAGACTAAAACAGCTACCCCCTGATTAAAGATTGAGGTGCTCAGATCTTATAGTAATGGAGGTTATAAAAGTACCATAGACAGATTGTGTTTGGACTCAGGGAAGCTATCTCTCAAACTCTAGTGAGCACAAAGTACTTCACAAAGCTCTACTTTCTTTCAAAACACTGCTGTTGGGAAAAGTCGTGATGATGGAACTGGGAGTCAGGAGATCTGGGTTTTATTTCCCACTCTGCCACAGTCTTCCTCCCTAAGCTTTGGTCATTTAATCTGTGGGAAAAGTGGGAAGTAATAGTAGATAATAATTAACTTCCTCACAAGAGTGTTGAACCTTAATTCACCAAAGTTTCTGAACTCATCGATGGTTGTCCAATTGAAAGTGCTATGGAAGCGCAAAATTTTCGTGTGAAAGTATCTTAAAAGTGTGTGTGTGTGTGTGTGTATATATATATATATATACACACATAGAATAGAGTGAGTCTTTAATAGCAAAGGATGGCAAGGTGCTTTACAAACTTTACTAATTGTGCACTGTGTGTAGGTTTAGATGACTTTGCTTCTAATTCAGCTCTTCTGGAAAGCCATTACTAGTTATTTTGTCTTTGGATGAAAATACTAAATGCTTTAAATCTGTCTATAAAAGTATTATTCTTAAAACCATTTAACCTTACTGTAGGATAGCCTTAACAATGGATTCACAATGTCCGCTGTGTTTTGGTAAAGTCTGCCATGAAGAGATTGCAGCTATTAGAACATTCTTACAAAAATCAAACTAACACTTCAAAAATATTTTAAATTTGTTTAAAAAGTAATTTCTAAATCAGTAATGTAGTATACGATTAAAAACTAAACGTCAGAGTGATATGTCTAGTGCATGGCAAACACAAGAACAGAAAAGGTAGACTGAGACCACTGGAAGCCTAAGTTCATGGAGAGGGTTTTATTTATGTTTTGTCAACTAGATCACTGTTCAGCTATTTTTAATGCTGTGAATCCCATTTCCTCCATTAAACTTTTTACTGAACTATTATCTGTCACAGCCCTTATGGATCATGAAAGCACTAAACCCATTGCTAATTAATATACAGTGTTTAAGGTTATTGTTCATATTATCTTTTAACAACCAACCAATTTAGGAATAAAGAGTATGCTGTTGCTTAACAAGAAGTGACTTTTTATAATGAACAATACATTGGTGTTGCCTCCATGTTGGTGATAGTTAAAAGTCTGTGGAAGATGGGTTTTATAGTTGATTTTATGCTACTACTACCAGTTTATTTACTGGCACTGTAGATTTTTCAATTTTGGCTTTATTCAGCGGCGGGGTTACTCAATTAAAATAATTGAATTAGGATAAGAGGGTTTGAAGTGTCTCCATTTGATGTAGTTATTACACGTTTTGTATGTTAAAGTTATGTTTAGAGGGTCATGTTACATTTTTAGGACTTGCTTTTTTAAGGGTACAATGGATGGTTTGCTTAATGCTTATTAGTTTTTAAGGATTAGCTTTTTTCCACGTGGCTTTTTTTGCACTAAGCCAACACTTCCCAAAGCCTGCTAGGTGGTACGAAGGACTAGCTAGGGCAGTGCAGAGGATATATAAACTAAGATGTTTAGGCTTTTAACAACATAAATCAGGGATGCACTGGGGGCTTGCAAGTATTTCCATTTTCTAGAAAAGGGTCCGGGGGAACTCAGCTTCCAAAAGTTTAGAGAACACTGCACATTAATGAAATTAGTGCTGTCTCTGCTCTGCGGTACTATTCTCCTTAATGTAAATCAGCATTATCTTGTACAGTAACATGATTTGTTTGTTTGTTTCTAGGAAATGTGACTACCAGTACATCTGTGTCTCAGATGGCAAGTGGGATCAGTCTAGTCTCCTTCAACAGTCGCCCCGATGGTATGCATCAGCGCTCCTACTCAGTTTCCAGTGCTGACCAATGGAGTGAGGCGACAGTCATTGCAAACTCTGGCATCAGCAGTGGTAAGAGACAAGTTGGGGTTTTTTTTGTAGAGCTCTTCTTTGAGGACTCATGTCACTCATCTGGGTACATTGACCTAAGCAAAGCTGCAGCCATTTAAACAGAACAAAAAGGATGAGAAAGAGGCAGAACATCATAAATTAACAAAACGTCTCTTCCTGTGGCATGGAAAGGCTAGGAGTGCTATGGAAGCAGCAAACGTGACTGCACGAGGAAGGAGATGCCTTGTGTTGTCAACTACCCCATGCCTGAAATTTCACATAGGCCCAAAATTATTAAAAGCATAGCAAAGTAAGGGTTGCTTTCTAAGTGCATAGCTTCCAAGGCATCTTCACTGCATCTGTGTATGGAGGTACACAGTTCTTATCCCCTTATTCCCTTTGTTTATGGTCTTAAGTGTTGAACTATTTATTATTTTATTTTTATTGTTGTAATTGGTTAGCTGTAGGCAGAGCCAGCCTTTGGAATGCGTGAATCCTGCAGCCACTGTCTCCATAACCTCAATTGGAGGAATTTGTAAATGTCAGGACTACTCTATTTACTTTTTTAAAGATGTTTCTAGCCATCTCTGTTGTGAAGAGAGCCTTGAAAATGCTGACCAATCATAAGGGTTGCAAGTTTGTCATAGTGATTTGTCCAACAAAATCACAGGGTATATTCATGATTTTCATATAGCCACTTAAGGATTGTCTGTGGGGCCAACAGATCAGTTGTCATTGATATCTTGATTTCTGAAAAGATCCCAGACCAATTTGATGTTGCGTCAAAGGTGTTGCCTGAGCTGCTACAAGCTCCCTACGAACTTGTCGCAAACTGTTTGCAGTTGAGCTTGTTCCTCTACTAAACACACATTGTGGGCTTTGTCCTCAAGGGGGAATGTCTGAATAGCATGAAAGGTGCTGTGGTCCAGTGGACTACACATAGGATTGAGAGCAAGGGAGTCCTTTATTCCAATCGTAGGTCTAACACATAATTTGTCTGTGACCTTGGTCAAGTCACTTCCTGCCTTATTAGTCCCATCTGTAAAATGGGGCTATACTACTTACGTCACATGGTGAGTTGTGAAGATTCCATTAATGTTAGTAAAGCACTATTCAAGTGCTAAATTTGTAGTATTTCAAAGAGAGACAAGGAGAAGCACTATGGAGAGCCCACGAAAGTAATGGTGGAAGTAATGGAATGGAGAAATAAGAATGTGGAAAGCAAAGGGAACCTTGAACAGAGTAAATGGAGGAAGGGTATGGACACCATGGGATGAAGTGACTATGAAAGAGAATTAGAGAAAAAGAAACTGCTGCTTTTGAGGCTATTCCTTAAAATAGTGACAATTGTAAGGATCTCAGAAGGACACATTTTGTGGCACGTGTGCGCACGAACACAGCTGTGGCTGTTTTGGGTGTATCTGCTGATCTTAGCTTTTGTCTATTATCTGGGCAAGCCCTACAGCACTCATGAGTGTGTTATCTATGCTGGTATGAAAAAGAAGCCTTCCCTTTCTCCTACACCCAGTTACATTTTATACTTCTTATAGTAAGGACATCTAATTCTGTTTTATGACTTGGCAATCGTATGTAATTACTTCTGGATCATAAGAGACAACAGCCAGGGTCAGCTGTACTACATTTACTCAAAGGACACAGGAAGACTGAGAAGTAAATAATGATAGAAAAATCGTATTTGCATCATTTCCTGCTTTGCTTTTACATTTTGAAAATACTGGGAGAACTTCTTTTAACTAAGTCAGTGCTTAGTGGACAGTCTTAGACAAACAAATGTCAACATAAACATTAACTATTGTGATTGATTAAACTACTTCAAAAACTCAAACATGATTCATCTCCATCAGCGTATCCTCTTTCACTTAGATTGTAGAATTTATCCTTTATGCTGGCAGTTGACACATGAAAAACCCTTTTTAATTTCAGCTTTTTTGCCCCAATAAAAGGTTTTGAATTTTAGTATCATAAAAAGATAATGCTGTGAAAGCAGCAGGGATAGGGAGAAGCTAAGCATCTTTTGGAATTCAAATGCCAGTGTACTGGAGAATATGCCTGCTTATTGTCACATGGTTTTATTGTAGACAAAATAACATATTGGGATTCAATTTTTCTCTGAACCTTTTTTCACATTAAATTAATACTTTGTGTGGCTCCGGAGAACTTTTCAAAGTCTTCCTATCCAGACCTTTGGTTTCCTGGGGCTTCTGTCTTTTAAGCAGCTGTGAACATCTCCTAATTAGATAAATTACTTTGTAGTGGGCAGAGCCACAAAACAGGAGGTGCTGGTTAAATTAAAGGGGAAAAAAATAGAAAAATCCATTCTCTGAAATGGAATGCCCCACTGCTTTATGACTATTACTGTTGTAAGGTTTTACATTTAAGTACCTGAGGTTTAAAATTAAATGTCTAATATAATTTGGCTCTGATAACAGGAAGCCTGTGACTGCCCTTAGAGAAAAATCTAGACAGCTTAGTTCAATGTTTCAAATTGCTGTCTGCTTGAGAGTGAGCAAATCATAGATTTGGATCGCTATTTAGCTAAATACCACATGCTGCTCAACATAATTTTAAATGCAGTAACATGTTCGTCTTTAAGTTTCTGAATTTAGAAAGACTGTTCCAGGACTACATGAAAAATTAATTTTTTTACCTTTTTTCTTACTCTTGTAAGTGTTTGACAGAAGTAATTTTAGCTGCAAGAGAATAAAAACGGGGGGCAGTAAATCCCCTGTCTGGGAACCTCTTGTATAGATTCTTTATGGACCTAGAATTGATCTACGTGTCAGATCCTGATGTAGCTTAAACTGTTTATCACCCTAATGGCAGAAGTAAGACCATGAACATCAACTTATAATCCTCTGTGAAAGAAATTGGTGTTTGCAGTCAATGAAGGAGCAGCTTAGGTGTACTGATAGATTTAGAACAATTACCTCTGCAACAACTATTGGCTGACGGGTTTTTTTGAATCTGATTGGAAGCCTGAGATTTTTTTCTTTGATTAATCATTTTCTTGATGGATAATTTTCTTTAGAGGTGTAATCTGTGGCTTCACACTCCTGGGGATAGGAGGGTCATATAGTCTCTGGGGAGCTATTCCTAACTTGCTTAGTTGTTAAATTTTACTTCAAGACAAGATCCTTTGTGTGTGCTTCACACATGCTTTTAGTGGAGTAAATACTGACTCTGTTCATCTAACCATCAGTTCCATTTTTTTTTCTTGGCACAGGAAGGAAGTACACACCCACTTTTGCATTTTCTTCTGCAAATTCAGTTCTAGTTTTCTCTTGCTTAGTATTTAGACTTCAGAGTTCTTGTTATTTGTATTTTATTTTTTATATTGTAAAAATGGAAATAGCTGTATTTCGCTGGGCCTATGAATTTTTGGTCAATCATTGGCTGTTACTCGAATTATGAAGTATCTCAAGCTTGCGTAGGAAATTCAGTCTTCCAGAGGAAGATCAGTTGATATTACTAGCACTTTATAGAATCACTGGTGAATACTGATCACGTCTGTTCTCCATTACATACAAATTATATATCTTAACAGAGCTCAAGAGAGAGAAATTCCGTGATCTTAATAGGACGATCTCTTTTGATAAAAGGTGACCATAGCCAATTTTATGAGATCAGGAAACTAAGTTCTCCAGACCTCATTAACAAAAGGTTGAACATTCTTTTCCATCCCAAGATATGCAGTGCAACTCATTCATTCTCTCTTCCGAGAAGTCCATTCACCCTCTTTTCTGAGAAGTTAGGATTTAAGGTTTGATTTGTTGGAGTGTGTCCCAAAAATAGTATATTAGATACTCTTTCCATTTCAAGAGTAGCAAATGTTTATATATAATAATAGTAGTAATAATACCTAGCTCTTGCATAAGTTCTATTGCCCAAACTAGATTAATTCACATGCAGCCGGGTATTTGTACTCTGCTTTTATGGAGCATCACATACATTTCTAGTATAAATGATTGCCGTATTGTCACATTCCATCTTCTTGAATGCCATCTGCATATATTTTATCTCTGAAAGATGGTTTATTGTATTTACAGTAAAAAGAAAAGGAGTACCTGTGGCACCTTAGAGACTAACCAATTTATTTGAGCATGAGCTTTCGTGAGCTACAGCTCATTTGGTTAGTCTCTAAGGTGCCACAAGTACTCCTTTTCTTTTTGCGAATACAGACTAACACAGCTGTTACTCTGAAACCTGTATTTACAGTGTCATCTCTTCAATAACTTGTAGAAAGCACAACACCTAGTTTCTATTCAGTCTCTAGCAGTTTGGTGTTATCAGGGTTTATCAACCTCAAATTAAGATCCTGCTGTGCCAGGGGATATAAGTGGTATTTTGAGCTTCTACGTTCATGCAAGCATTACCCAGGTTACTTTTCTGATGGCAATCACTTTGTCTCGTACAATTAGTGAGTTATGGGCTCTGAAGACCTATGGTACATTTGAAGAGAGAGGTTTGGCTTTGTGTGCGCACTCAGGAAAATTCTTCTGGCCGTAGTTTCAAAACTCAATTTTGAAGGTGAACTGGAAAGATTTTAGTTTTAAAGAATGATTTATAATCCCAAATCAATACAAATCCCAAAACAAAGTTCGAGTAAGGTAGACTATATTGTATTTTTAATACATTCACAAAGCTTTTCAAAATTAGTTCCTCTGTCACTTATCTGCTAAGTCCTGCATGCAAGATTTGGTACGTTCCCTATAATAGTTAGTATCATCACAAAACCCTCTAAAAATAATGCTGGGATTCCTGTTTCAGGTGGTACTCTCATCAACAGTTGCAGAACACGTATAGAATCCTGAACTCAAGTATCAAGTAGTAAACAGAGGAGGCATGGATTTTCAAATCTTTTCTTTTAAAATGCAAATGTGGGGCTTTTTTACTTTGTTGAAACACACAGGTCAGGTTACTGCTTTCTGGTTTTCAAATTAAATGTTTACATTTTGCTTTCAAACAAGTATTGCAGTGCCACTATTTTCTAATTCTTTCTA